CTCCTGGGTTCAAGCAATTCTCCTGCCTCAGCCTCCCAAGTAGCTGGGATTACAGGAGCGTGCCACCATGCCTGCCTAATTTTTGTAATTTTAATAGAGACAGGGTTTCACTGTGTTGGCCAGGCTGGTCTCGAACTCCTGACCTCAAGTGATTGTCCCGCCTCAGCCTCTCAAAGTGTTGGGATTACAGGCGTGAGCCACCGCACCTGGACAACAATTTTTTTTTTTTTTTTAAATTAGCCAGGTGTCATGGCATGTGCCTGTAGTTCCAGCTACTTGGGAGGCTGAGGCGGGAGAATCACTTGAACCCAGGAGGCTGAAGTGAGGTTGCAGTGAGCCGAGATTGTGCCACTACACTCCAGCCTGGGTGACAGAGACAGACTCCATCTCAAAAAAAAAAAAAAAGAAAGAAAAAGGAAAGATAACACTGACTAGTTCAGAATGCTTAATGACAGTGGAAGTGAGGAATGGAAATAAGTAACTACTAAAATAAAACAGCAGAAAGGACCTGCGTGAGCCCACAGTGCTAGCTGGCTATGAACCCTTAGGTCAGTCCCAGGACAGTGTCCTGAACTAGGATGAATAAGTAAATGGTTTGGATACGATTTGTTTGTCCACACCAAAAATCATGTTGAAATTATTTATTATTATTCTTTTCTTTGAGACAGTGTCTTATTCTGTCACCCAGGCTGGAGTGCAGTGGCGCCATCTCAGCTCACTGCAACCTCTGCCTCCCAGTTCAAGCAACTCTCCCGCCTCAGTTTCTCAAGTAGCTGGGATTACAGACACGAACCACCACAGCCAGCTAATTTTTTTTGTATGTTTAGTAGAGAGACGGTTTCACCATGTTGGCCAGGCTGGTCTCGAACTCCTGACCTCAGGTGAGCCACCCGCCTCGGCCTCCCAAAGTGCTGGGATTACAGGCGTGAGCCACCGCACCCAGCCAGATATTCTTTTAGAGCAACACGACATGGACCAAGACACGAATCAACAGACATGCTGATGGATGAAGAGAGAGGTTGGGGTGGGGGAGACTCGCACCTGTGGTGTCCACCTGGGGCAGGAGGCGCAGGAAGATGGGCCGGGCATAGGGTGCCAGCACTTTCTGCAGTTCCTGGTACATCGCGTTGGGGTCCAGCAGGCTGTGGGGGTCTGCGATGGCTGCCATCCCTGCCTTACCCTCCACTCCTGGAGGCAGAGGCTCAGCTGAGGACACCGCACCCCTCATCCTCCCCACCAACAGGACCAGATACACTGTCAAGCAGTAGCCCCTGGTCTCTAATTTCCAGTCTCTCCCCACCTGGGCTGAGATTTATGGAAGCAGCACACATTTTATGGAGCTCCTGCTTGGCTTGTTGAAGCCCTGAGACAGGTGGGCTTTCATGATCCCATTTTCTGGATGACAAAACTGAGGCTCAGCATCCCCCAGGTGAACTGGCTCCAGATCCAGTGCTTCCTCCTGGGCTGCCATGAGCAGTTGTCCAGGTTGTGCACTGCCCAAGGGCACCTGTACCTCCAAGCCCCTTTTGGCTGAGCTCCCTCCGAACCATGCCTCAGGACCACCCCCTGCAACCCCAGCTTGCCTGGAACAGCCACCCCATAGACGGCCACGTCTGTCTGGCCCAGCAGGCGGCTCAGCACGCCCTCCACCTCGGTGGTGGAGACATTTTCCCCTCGCCAGCGGAAGGTATCCCCACTACGGTCCCGGAAGTACATGTAGCCCAGCTCGTCCATCACTAGCACGTCACCTGGCAGAGGAGAAAGGGGGCAGATGGGTGGCAGATCCCCATCCGTACAGCCAGTCACCGGGGCCTAGCAGGCTGCGCACCTGAGAGGTAGGCGCTGTCGCCCTTGCTGAAGACGCTGTGGGCGATCTTCTTGCTGGTGGCGCTCTCGCTGACATAACCGTCGAAGCGGCGCAGCGGGTCCTGTTGGTTGATCTGGCCCACGAGGAGGCCAGGCTCCCCTAGGGAGGAGGCCACGCTCAGGCTGCGCTAGGCAGGCAGCGCGTGGGGACCCGAGCTCCTGGGGGGACCACCTGGGGGCCCTGCTCACCGGCCTGGCAGGGGATGCAGAGGCCCTGGGCATCCCGCAGCAGCTCCATCGTGTCCTCATTGACCTTCACCAGCCGGATGGGGTACACGTGGGGCAGGATGCGGCTGTTGAAACCACAGGAGCCGACCTGGGATGGGGTGAACCGAGTTGGAAGGAGCCAGGGATATGCGGGGTCCTTCTCACTAACACTTTGCCTGCCTTGCCCCGGGGCTTGGAACTAGCACGTCCAGTGTCACTCTAAGCTCTCTGACCTCGGCTGATCTGCAAAAGCAGGGTAGTAAGTGCCGCCTCCAATTCAGGGCCCCTCCTCCCACTTTCCCAGCCTGCATTCAGTCAAGAGAAGACGTGCCACTGGCACCCACTTCCTGGGCCACAAAACCGTCCATGCTGGCAGGAAGTGCATGCCTCAGTGTGGGCCCTACAGCTGCATGAGATACTGCAGAGCTTCCCCTGCTGCCCGCCACCCTGCTTGGCATGGTTCTATGAACGCAAATGCTCATCCAACATGTTTGAGCCACTACACCCTGTCTGCTGTGTTTCTTTCTGCCTTTCCCCTGCTCCTTTTGTTTTTTTTTTTTTTTTTGACAGACTCTCCTCTGTCGCCTAGGCTGGAGTGCAGTGGTGCAAATTCGCTCACTGTAACCTCTGCCTTCCAGGTTCAAGTGGTTCTCATGCCTCAGCCTCCTGAGTCTGAGATTATGGGCGCATGCCACTGAGCCCAGCTAATTTTTTTTTTTTTTTTTTTTTTTGTATTTTTAGTAGAGACAGGGTTTTGCCATGTTGGCCAGACTGGTCTCAAACTCGTGACCTCAAGTGATCCGCCCGCCTCGGCCTCCCAAGGTGCTGAGATTACAGCCCTGAGCCACCATGCCCGGCCTGGTGTGTTTCCTATGCAGGAATCTGAGCTACATGAGCAAAAGTGCCCTGGGGGCTGGCCATCCAACACCAAGCACAGTGAGGAAGGAGCATTGTTCTTGGCATTGGGGACCCAGCCCCCATGGCACTTGCTGCTTTTTTATTTTTTTCCTTTTTAGAGACACAGAGTCTCACTCTGTTGCCCGGGCTGGAGTCCAGTGGTGCAGTCGTAGCTCACTGCAGCCTCAATCTCGTGAGCTCAAGTGATCCTCCCGCCTCAGCCCCCCTAGTAGCAGTGACTACAGGCACCCACCACCATGCCTGGCTAATTTTTTATTTTTTGTAGAGAAGGGAGTCTCACCACATTGCCTATGCTGGTCTCAAACTCCTGGGCTCAAGTGATCCTCCTGCCTCAGCCTCCCAAAGTGTTAGGATTACAGGTGTGAGCCACCGTGCCCGGCCGACATTTGCTTTATGATCATTATTATGGTCTGTTCTTGGCCTTGGATGGGAGGGGCTTGGGAAAGGAGAGGGAGATTCATGGAAGCGCAGAATGGAGATGATTAATAGAGTAAGTAATTGCTAATTATGAAGGTATCTGTTTGCTGCTAGTTGGGAGGCTGAGGCAGGAGGATCGCTCGAGCTCAGGAACTGAAGGCTACAGTGAGCTATGATCACACGGCTGCACTCCAGCCTGGGCGACAGAGCGAGACTCTGTCTCAACGACAACAACAAAAATAACAGCAAGGTACCCAGAGCCCTATTCTCCTAACTAACCTCCACACGCAGAAACTGAGGCTCAGAAAGGCTGAGGCACTTGCCAGGGCGCACAGCCATATCTATCCTCCAACTCTCCTGACTCAAGGATCACAGTCACATGACTATCTGTGCAGGCTGGAGGATTCTTCCTGCATGCTGTGCATTAATCCTCTGGTGGTGCATCGGCAGTCCCAGGAACTCTCCTTACGCCAGTACTGCGCGCGCCTTGGCGGAACCTTCCGCGCTAGTCCAGGCTGGTTTTTTGTTTTTTTTTGTTTTTTTTTGTTTTTGAGATGGAGTCTCGCTCTGTCGCCTGGGCTGGAGTGCAGTGGCCAGATCTCAGCTCACTGCAAGCTCCGCCTCCCAGGTTCACGCCATTCTCCTGCCTCAGCCTCCTGAGTAGCTGGGACTACAGGCGCCCGCCACCTTGCGCGGCTAGTTTTTTTTTTTTTTTGTATTTTTTAGTAGAGACGGAGTTTCACCGTGTTAGCCAGGATGGTCTCGATCTCCTGACCTCATGATCCGCCCGTCTCGGCCTCCCAAAGTGCTGGGATTACAGGCTTGAGCCACCGCGCCCGGCCGTCCAGGCTGCTTTATGGATCCCAGGGGCCCCAGGAAGAGAAGGCAGTGGCCGTCCCTGAACTCCGAGACCTGCCCCGGGGCCCTGCTGGTGCGCACCTTGCCGTCCATGTTGGCAATGCTGCAGTTGCACTCGGTGGCGCCGTAGAACTCCCCGATCTGGCGCACGCCGAAGCGCTGCGTGAACTCCTCCCAGATGGCTGGACGCAGCCCGTTCCCCACTGCCAGGCGCACGCGGTGTCGCCTCTCCGCCTCGCGCACCGGCTGCTTCAGCAGGTAGCGGCAGATCTCACCGATGTACTGAACCACCTGGGGGACGGGGTGAGGAAGTGGGTGATGGGACCGGCAGGCAGTGGGGAGCCCGGATCAGAGGAGAGACCCCTAGACCGCCCTACCCAGGGAGCTAATCCTGTGAGCGAAAGAGCCTAAGGATGATGATAGCTGCAGAATCATCCACACTCCATTAGGGTTCACATTGACTCCTAGGACTCGTTCAGTCTCTTGCAAAGGACCTAGGATGCAGTTTTTTTTTTTTTTTTAAGTTGGGGTCTCCCTGTGCCGTCCAGGCTGCTGGAGTGCAGTAGCGTGATCAGGGCTCACTGCAGCTTCGAACTCCTGGGTTCAAGTGATCCTCCAGCCTTAGCCTCCCGAGTAGCTGGGACTACAGATTTTTTTGTAGAGATGGGGGATCTCGCTCTGTTGCCCAGGCTTGTCTTGAACTCCTGGCCTCAAGCAATCCTCCTGCCTCAGCCTCCCAAAGTGTGAGATTCCAGGTGTGAGCTACGTGTGCCTGGCCGGAGGCAACTTCTATCCAAGCAGATGCAGTCAGTGTCTTCTTCCCCCTCTCCCTACCCGCACCCCTTCATGGCCCCTCGATTCTGCCGGACAGCTTTCTGGCGATAACACATCCCTGTCTGAGACTCAGCAGGCACACAGGGCAGGACTAGCAGGAGAGTTGACACCCTGCAGGGCAATCCTCGGCCTGGAGCCTACACTGTTACCTAGAGCCCCCTGGCTGAGCCTGGGCTGGCCAGAGCGTCACCCCTGGGCAAACCACTCCCAGGTGCACGCACTAGGCTGCTCTGCATCTAGACAGAGCCCCAGGTGCCCACGGAGCCACCTGCTCATGGGCTCCCCCTGCAGGACATCTTCCCTCCCTGCCACACATTCTCCAGCCCCGCAATGGCTTCCTGGGGTCATCCGCCAGATGATTAAACCAATATGATCAGCAGACACCACCGCCACGCTCTGAGCCGGGCTTGGAGATGAAGGTACTGACGCCCAGAAAGGAAACAGTGCACCCGAGATCACTGGCTGCTGACCAACAGTGGGGACCTAAGAAGGAGGGTCCTCTCCCTCCATTCTCAGACTTGGGCCACTGTCTTAGGTGTGGTGCAGTCCACACCATCTCCAGGAGAGAACCTGGCCAATCAGCCCAGCCCCTCCTCAGCTAATATGACTGGTTTAAGAATGGGCACATGGCTGGGCACGGTGGCTCACGCCTGTAAACCCAGCAGTTTGGGAGGCCGAGGTGGGCAGATCACTTCAGGTCAGAAGTTCGAGACCAGCCTGGCCAATGTAGTGACACCTCATCTCTACAAAAATACAAGAAAATTTAGCCAGGCTTGGTGGCATGTGCCTGTAATCCCAGCTACTCGGGAGGCTGAGGCAGGAAAATCTCTTGAACCCAAGAGGCAGAGGTCGCAGTAAGCCAAGATTGCTCCATTGCACTCCAGTCTGAGGACAAGAGCGAGACTCTGCCTCAGTTAAAAAAAAAAAAAAAAAAAAAAAAAGCAAGGATTTTAATAGACAAGCTAGCAGGTAGGCTGTATCTGATCTAAATAGACAGCGAAAAACCGGTGAGGACCAGGTGTGCCATCCACATAGGGTACAAGTCTCTGGTAGCCCCCAACCCAATCTCTTATTATGCAGGTGGGTAGCTACTCCACGTTGCCTATTTCTTTTTTATTTGAAAAAAAAAAGAGTTCTTGGTAGAACTTCCCTTCTAACAAAAAGCAGCCCAAGAAATCACTTATTTTCTAACAAAAAGCAGCCTGGAAGATCGGGCTGCAAACAGATAAGGAAGCTGGAAGCTTGCACAGGGGGGATGCCAGCAGCTGCACCGACAAAAAGGGCTACCGGGGGCTGGGCACGGTGGCTCATCCCCGTAATCCCAGCACTTTGGGAGGCCAAGGCGGGCGGATCATCTGAGGTCAGGAGTTCGAGACCAGCCTGGCCAACATGGTAAAACCCCAAGTCTACTACAAATACAAAATTAGCCGGGAGTGGTGGCACATGCCTGAATCCCAGCTATTCAGGAGCCTGAGGCAGGAGAATCACTTGAACCTGGGAGGTGGAGGTTGTAGTGAGCCGAGATCACGCCACTGCACTCCGGTCTGGGCAACAGAGTGAGATTCCGTCTCAAAAAAGAGAAAAAAAAAAAGGAAAGGGCTACCTGGGGCTGGGCAGGTAGCCTCCACCATGGGGGCTCCACCTTCCCTTTTTTGTTAGTACATGTATAGTAAGAAAGAAATAAGAAACAAAAGCCGGGTGCTGTGGCTCATGGCTGTAATCCCAGCAGTTTGGGAGGCTGGGGCAGGCAGATCACCTGAGGTCAGGAGTTCGAGACCAGCCTGGCCAACATGGCAAAACCCCATCTCTACTAAAAATACAAAAAATTAGCCAGGCTTGGTGGTGGACCCCTGTAATCCTAGCTACTCGGGAGACTGAGGCAGGGGAATCACTTGAACCCAGGAGGAGAAGGAGGTTGCAGTGAGCTGAGATCACACATCTCCATTCCAGCCTGGGAGATGCAGCAAAACTGTCTCAAAAAACACACACAAAAAAGTCAGTAAGCTTCTAGATTATAACCTCCTGCCCCCATGAGAATGGCTACACTGCAACTGCTTTTACAGATAACTCAGCAGCAAGCAGTTTCCCTACGCTGCAATCAGGAGATGTAATTTCTGAATCCAAATAAGTGCATGCTCTTGTTTTCTCCTTGTGTCCTTGTTGAACATCACGTTTAGAGATTCTGTCCTCTGGTTTGGTTTGGTTTTTTTGTTTGTTTGTTTTTGTTTTTGTTTTTTTTTGAGATGGAGTTTCACTCTGTCGCCCAGGCTGGAGTGCAGTGGCGTGATCTCGGCTCACTGCAACCTCCACCTCCTGGGTTCACAGGATTCTCCTGCCTCAGCCTCCCAAATAGCTGGGACTACAGGCGCCTGCCACCACGCCTGGCTAACTTCCCATCCTCTATTTCTTAAAGAGCCTCTCAATGTTCACTGTGTGCCTTATTTGACACAAAATTCCACTTCTAGGAAACTGACAGAATGAGCTTCCAAGGGCCCGGAGACAGTAAGTAGCAACCAATGTAAGATGGTATGTCAAGGACAAAGAGAGGCCATCAGACGTGACGGGCTTCCCAGTGGGAGGACACCGCACCACCCATAAGGAATCTTTGCCAAAAAAGTTGAGTTTGAAGCCGATAAAATATCTAGACCCGTGATTCTCAAGCGGGGACCATTCTGTCCCCCAGGGACCCTTAGCAATGTCTAGACACATTTTTTTTTTTTAATTGTCACGACTTGGGGGAAAGGGACTGCTACTGGCATCCGGTGCGTGGAGGCCAGGTATGTTGCTAAATATATGCTACAATGCACAGGACACCTCCCACCCCAGGGAATGATCCAGCCCCAAATGTTAAGAGTCAAACCTAGTCTGGACACTATCTCAATTTCTGTAATAAACTCCAAGAGGGAAGAGAGACAGACAGAAAGAGAAAAGGCACCTACAAATGAAACATTTCTTTTTTTCTTTTCTTTCTTTCTTTCTTTTTTTTTTTTGGAGATAGGGGCTTGTTCTGTTGCCCAGGCTGGAGTACACTGGCACAATCATGGCTCATAGCAGCCTTGACCTCCTGGGCTCAAGCAATCCTCCCACCTCAGCCTCCCAAGCAGCTGGGACTACAGGCACAACCCACCACAACCAGCTAGATTTTCAATTTTTTTGTAGAGATGAGGGACTCGCTATGTTGCCCAGGCTGGTCTTCAACTCTTGGGCTCAAGTGATCCTCCCACCTCGGCTTCCCAAAGTGCTGGGATTACAGGCATGAGCCATTGTGCTTAGCCAAGAATTCTTACAAGACACATCAACCAGTCATAATGGTGGTTGTGTGTTTAATTATGGAAATAAGAAAAAACACATTTTTGATATTGTGAAACAGGATTGAGCCACTGTCCAGATTCCTAATGACACTGATAAATCACTGTCACTTAAAAACAATCCTTACCAGACACAAAAGGTTACAGTGTCTAACTCCACTGATCTGAAATGTCCAGAACAGGCAAATCATAGAGATGGGAAACAGATTAGTGGTTGCCAGGGGCTGGGGGTGGAGGAATGGGGAGTAACTGGGGATGGGATTTCCTTTGGGGAGCATGAGAATGTTCTGGATCTAGATAGACATGGTGATTGTACATTGTAAATGCCACCAAATTATTGACCTTTTTTTTTTTTAAAGATGGAATCTCACTCTGCCGCCCAGGCTGGAGTGCAGTGGCACGATCTCAGCTCACTGCAGCCTCGGCTTCCCAGGTTCAAGCGATTCTCCTGCCTCAGCCTTCCAGGTAGCTGGGATTACAGGCACGCAGCATCATGCCCAGCCAATTTTTTTTTTTTTTTTTTGAGATGGATTTCTCGCTCTGTCGTGCCCAGGCTGGAGTGCAGTGATGCCATCTTGGCTCACTGCAACCCCTGCCTCCCAGGTTCAAGCAATTCTCCCACCTCAGCCTCCCGAGTAGCTGGGATTACAGGCACCAACCACCACGCCAGGCTACATTTCTGTACTTTTAGTAGAGATGGGGTTTCACCATGTTGGCCAGGCTGGTCTCAAACTCCTGACCTCAAGTGATCTGCCCACCTCAGCCTCCCAAAGTGCAGGGATTACAGGCGTGAGCCACTGTGCCTGGCCAAATTATTCACTTTAATATGGCTAATTTATATGAATTTCACTTTAATTTGAAAAAACACATACTCATCTTTCAAAGGTTATACCGAAACAGCTACCCAGGAAACATGATGCTGTCTGAGGGATGCTTTACGCCATTGCCGAGGGGAGGATGTGGGGACGGGGGGAGGGGCAGGACAGGGTATCTGACGGCCCCTGGGTCCAGCTGAGGGGTGCACCAGAACTCTCTATACTTTTCTGTCCACTTCTATGTGTATTTGCTACTGTCTATAATTTTTTGTAAAAGATACTTTTGGGCTGGGTACAGTGGCTCACGCCTGTAATCCCAGCACTTTGGGAGGCTGAGGTGGGTGGATTGCTTGAACCCAGGAGTTTGAGACCAGCCTGGGCAACATGGCGAAATCCCTTCTCTATAAAAAAAATTCAACAATGAGCCAGGCGTGGGGGTGCGCACCTGTAGTCTCAGTTACTTGGGAAGCCGATGCTGGAGGATCACTTGAGCCCAGGAGGTCGAAGCTGCAGTGCGCCATGATGGTGCCACTGCACTCCAGCCTGGGCGACAGAGTGAGATCCTGTCTCAAAAAAATATATGATAATAAATAAACAAAATAAAAATATACTTTTGCATTTCAACATGCAGATTAGTAATTTTCCCAAGACTACCCCCCCCACCCACCAACCAGAACCGAAACTCCTTAAAAGCGGAGCCAAGCACAGCTGTGGACCTTGTGGTGTACCCCAGGATGCTCAGCCCGGAGCCTCCAACCCCTGCTCAGCTGTGTGACCTGGACAAGTGGCTGAACCTCTCTGGGTCCCATCTGTCCAATCTACATCTGCCAACTTGCCAGAGTCCCTGGACAACCTCACATCCAATCCTTCCCGGCCAGCCTTGCTATTCCCTTCGGGCTCCATACCTGTTTCCTGTACCTCCCACCTGTATTTCCTGTATCCTGCCCCCGGTTACAGCACTGAAACCCTCAGCCTGGTTTCCTCTCACCACGGAGGGGAAAGGAGAATTCCTGCTCTTAACCTCCGCCTGCTCTCCTCTCTGGGACAGCAGATGCCTCCACCTCCCACTCACGCATTCCTCACCTGGAAGCCCCAGCCTCATCGCCCTTCCCGTCCCAGGGTCTCAATTCTCTACAGTCAGCAGCAGGGAAGACCCACAGGGCACAAGGCATGGGGAAGGCATTGCCTTAAGGAGCTCAGGCACCCTGGGCCCAATCCCAGCCTCATTACAAGCCTCAGTTTCCCCAGCTGCAAAATGGGTCCACCCTCCAAGCAGTTACAGGATTGCATTGAGTTTACACATGGAGGGTTTAGCCCTGGTCTGGACACCCGCTCCCCACCCCACCCCCAGAGACCGGGGAGCAGGTTGCGCCAGCAGGTGGGCAGGAGGGCGCACAGAAGGGAGTTAAGGGAATAGAGCCTGGTCGGGGGCGGGGCCTGGCTGGGAGAGGGCAGGGCCTGACCAGGAGGAGGTGGGGCTTTGCTGGGAGGGGAGGGGCCGGGTCTAGACAGAACAGGGCAGGGCCTGACCGTGCAGTTGTACTTGATGCAGTCGTCCCAGAAGCGGCTGGCCGAGAATTTCTTGCGAAGGACGACTGTCAGCCCATAGATGAGACACTGCCCCACGCCGATGATGTTTCCTGCAGAGGGTGGCCTCGGTAAGGGGTCCCCCGCCCCCACCCACCGTTCCCTACCCAGGCCGCCCCGTAGTACCTGCAGAGTGGTACAGGGGCAGGCAGTCATAGAGCACGTCAGCCGCCTGCATGCGGTAGGCGTGGTGGCCGAAGGCTGCCATGCGGTAGTACCTGCAGGGGGAGGGGGAGCCGGGAGGGCAGAGGCTGGGACCTAAATCCCCCAGGGTACAGGCATGGGGAAGCATGCTGGGTGTGGACTCAGGCAAAGCCAGCCCCGTTCGCATGGGTTCGCAGGCTGGCAGGAAGGAAACACGCAACGAACAAGTGTTGGTGGTGTTAGGTGTCACGAGGGATATAACAGGGTCAAAGGGCATAGAGGGGCTGATGGTGACGCAGCCAGGGCGGTTGGGGAATCCTGTCTGGGGAGGTAAAGTGTGATCTGAGACCTAGCAAGAAAGAGCTGTGGCGGTGAGCTATGGAAGAGTGCCCAGGCACAGCACAGCAAGGGCCCTGAGGCCGGAAGGAGCGTATGGGTTTGAAGAGTTTGGGGGGCTGAGGAGTGAGCAAGGGGTGAAGGGGAGGAAAATGACATCAGGGAAGTGGCAGAGGCCACACGATCTGAGAGAGGTTTTGTTTGTTTTGTTTTTGTTGTTGTTGTTGTTTTTGAGAGGGAGTCTTGCTGTGTCACCCAGGTTGGAGTGCAGTGGCGTGATCTCAGCTCACTGTAATCTCTGCCTCCGGGTTCAAGCAATTCTCCTGCCTCAGCCTCCTGAGTAGCTGGGATTACAGTCATGTGCCACCACGCCTGGCTAATTTTTGTATTTTTAGTAGAGACAGGGTTTCACCACGTTGGTCAGGATGGTCTGGAACTCCTGACATCAAATGACCTGCCTGCCCCAGCCTCCCAAAGTGCTGGGATTACAGGCGTGAGCCATCGTGCCTGGCCCGAGAGAAGGTTTTATTCTGAGGGTCATGGCAGGTGCAGGGAGGACTGGGACAGGGGAGGTCTGATTTAGGATTTTCAACCCTCCCGTAGCTGCTTACAGGAACCGGGCTATGGTGGGTGGAGGAGAGTGGGGGGGAGCAGGAGGAGCCTGAGGAGGTCCCGGCACAGGTCCAGGTGGGGGGCACGGAAAAAAGTAGACATATGGAGGGGACGAGTTTTTCTGATGAGATGGATGTGGTGAACAGGTAGGGGGATGAGAGGGGTCCCAGAGTAGTGGGCACAGGGCAACCGGGTCCCAAGATGGGTGTGAAAATGGGTGTAATGCCTTTGTTCAGCCCCAAACAGTTACGAGGGTTGCAATGAGTTTAGACGTGGAGGGCTTGGCCTTGGTCTGGACACAGAACAAGTGCTCAGGAAACAGTGGCTGTCCTCTCTATCCCCAGAGGGGCAGGTCGGGCTGGCAAGGTAGCCTGGGTCACTCTCAGCAGCTGAGGGCATTATGCCTGTGGGTCCCTCACCTGCTGTGCACGACAATGGCAGCCTTGGGCAGTCCAGTGGTCCCCGACGTGTAGATGTAGAAAAGACGATCTGTAGGAGATACTGGTGTTAGGGATGGGGCCTGAGCATTGGGGGTGGGGCCTGGAAGTTGGGGACGGGGCCTGGGCGGGTAGGGAACCAGGAGATAGGGCAGGGGATAGGGCAGGGGTCCCACCCTTGACTCACCGTCCATGCCCTTGCTGGGGATCTGTGCCAAGGGGGCAGTAGAGGCCTCCTTCAGCAGTGGGTCCAGGAGGTGGGTGTCCGGCAAGATGCCCTCGGGCCCCAAGTCTCCAGAGCAGAACTTGATCAAACTTTTCCCCAGATGCCCGCTCACTTCGGCCACCGCTGTGGTCCCCAACATACGGATCATGGTCACCGCGGGACAGGCCCCCTCCCGAGGCCTGGGATGCACCAACTCCCTGCCCGTGGCATACCCAGACCGTGCACCTCATGGTCACGTCCAGGGCGGCCGCCTTCCGAGGCCTGGGGTGCAGCATTTCCCCGCCCGCCCGGGGGCCAGTCCTGGGTCCCCGCCCACCTGATGCCCACGCCTGGCCTCACCCGCCGCCATTTCTCCTCCAAAGATCAGGGCCTTAGCGCCCGAGGTGCCCAGACAGAAGGCCAGGGGCTCGCGCCGCAGGTTCACGTTGAGCAGCGCGGCCTCCATGCCCGCCTTGGCCAGGCCCAGCCACAGCCCCACAAACTCGGGCCGGCCCTCCAGGAAGACGGCCACCACGTCGCCCGGTGCGAAGCCCAGCTGGCGGAAGAGGTTAGCTACCGCATTGGAGTAGGCGTCCAGCTGCACGAAGGTCCAGCACTCGCCGGTCCCGGCATCCACCAGCGCCAGGCGCTCGGGCTGTCGCTGCACCACCGCCTGAAAGATGCGCGGGATGGTGTGGCCGGCACGCTGGTGCCGCCGCAGCTCCAGGCGCACGCGGATCAGCACAGAGAGACCGCTGGGAGGGAGGACGGAGGGGACAGCGTCACTGGTGCCCTGCCCGGCCTGGCCTTCGGGAGCTTCAGCCTCCCCCCTGGAGGACCCCAGGGCAGCCAGGGGCTTTGATGAGGTCTATGGTGAGCCTTTTGGTGGCTGGGTCTCTCAGGGGACCAAGGGCAAAGGCCATTTACCAACCAGCCAAGAAGTAGGTAGATTCTCAAAGCATAATAAACCAGTCACCCTGTCCTCCCCCATACCCCAGCTGGCCTGGGGGAGCTGGGGCCTGATCCCATCCTCCTTTCTGTCCCCTGGGACGTCTGGAGCACCTGACACCATCCCCCACTGCCTCCAGCCTGGACTCTTCATGCTCAGACCACCCCAACCAGGACCCCCAGGGTCCAGCCCCGAGCTGGGCAGCTGCTCCGCCCCCAGGTCACTGGGTGGCACCAGGGACAGATGGCTGAAGTTTCTAGCATGTGCCCCCAACTGGGGAGGGAGTGCCCCTGCCCCTGTCCCAGGTAGGGCCAGGAGATGTGCCAGTGGATGGGGGGTGTAGGGACGAATGCCAAGCCCAGATGGAGGGTTCCAAGTTCCCCTTCCCCACTCGCTAGTAGATATTAGCGGCAGAGGCCCCAGGGAACTGCAGAGCCCTCAGTGAAAGGAGTCAGGTCCCTGAATGACTGTGTGGAGGCGGGCAGGCCACCACTTGCTATTAGATGAATGAGAATAAAATGTTTTTTGTTTTGTTTTGTTTTGTTTTGTGAGACGGAGTCTCACTCTGTCGCCCAGGCTGGAGTGCAGTGGCGCAATCTTGGCTCACCCTCTGCCTCCTGGGTTTAAGCAATTCTCCTGCCTCAGCCTCCAGAGTTGCTGGCACCCACCACCACACCCGGCTAATTTTTGTGTTTTTAGTAGAGATGGGGTTTCATCATATTGGTCAGGTTGGTCTCAGACTCCTGACAGGTGATCCACCAGCCCCAGCCTCCCAAAGTATTGGGATTACAGGTGTGAGCCACCATGCCCAGCCAAGAATGAACTTTAAAAACAAACAAACAAACAAGAAATGCTTTAGGCCGGGCGCGGTGGCTCACACCTGTAATCCTAGCACTTTGGGAGGCCGAGGTGAGTGGATCACCTGAGGTCAGGAGTTCGAGATCAGCCGGGCCAACATGGTGAACCCCTGTCTCTACTAAAAATACAAAAAATTAGCCAGGCGTGGTGGCAGGCGCCCGTAATCCCAATTACTTGGGAGGCTGAGGCAGGAGAATTGCTTGAACTCAGGAGCTGGAGGTTGCAGTGAGCCGAGATTTTGCCACTGCACTCCAGCCTGGGCGACAAGAGCGAGACTCTGTCTCAAAAAAAAAAAAAAAGAAAGAAAAAGAAAAAAAGAAAGAAAGAAAGAGGGCCAGGCACGGTGGGTCACACCTGTAATCCCAGCATTTTGGGAGGCCAAGGCGGGTGGATCACCTGAGGTCAGGAGTTTAAGACCAGCCTGGTCAACATGGTGAAACCCCGTCTCTACTAAAAATACAAAAAAAGCAGCCAGGCATGGTGTGCCTGGCTGTAATCCCTGGCACACATGGTGTGCGCCTGTAATCCCAGCTACTCAGGAGGCTAAGGCAGGAGAATGAACCCATGAGGTGGAGGTTGCAGTGAGCTGAAATCGCACCACTGCACTCCAGCCTGGGCAACTGAGCAAGATTCGGTCTCAAAAAAAAAAAAAAAAGGCACTGCTCATCCCTTCAACCAATAAATAGAGCAGCCAAGATAATCATTCTCAGCTAGACGTGGTAGCTCACACCTGTAATCCCAGCACTTTGGTAGGCCAAGGTGGGTGGGTCACTTGAGGTCAGGAGTTCGAGACCAGCCTGGCCAACATGGCAAAATACCATCTCTACTAAAAATACAAAAATTAGCCGGGCGTGGTGGTGGGCACCTATAGTTTTAGCTATTTGGGAGGCTGAGCCATGAGAATTGTTTGAACCAGGAGGTGGAAGTTGCTGTGAGCCAAGATTGTACCACTGCACTCCAGCCTGGATGACAGAGCAAGACCATGTCTCAAAAAAAAACAAAAACAAAAACAGATGATCATTCTCAGTGTTTATTAAGCACCTACTATCTGCCATACCCTGTGCTAACCTTATATCCATCCTCCAGCATAGGTGCCTGAGATCCTATCTGTCAAATAACGAATGAACTGCAGGCTCAGAGTGGGGAATTAACACACCCAAGGTCACAGAGCAATTTGAGGACAGAACAACCCAGACACGAAGCCCCCTCACGGGGTCCCTCTAATCCCTGGCAGACTTATTACAAAGCATTTATCAAGTGCTGGTGATGTACCCAGTGGCAGGCCAAGTGCCCATGAGGCACACAGCAGATGCCCAATGTCTGTGTCTTTTTTTTTTCCTTTTTTTTTTTTTTTTTAGATGGAGTCTCACTCTGTCACCCAGGTTGGAATGTAGTGATGCCACGTCAGCTCACTGCAACCTCTGCCTCCCAGGTTCAAGCGATTCTCCTGCCTCCACCTCCTGAGTAGCTGGGATTACAGATGCCCGCCACCACGCCCAGCTAATATTTTGTATTTTTAGTAGAGACGAGCTTTCACCATGTTGGCCAGGCTGGTCTCGAACTCCTGACTTCAGGCGATCAGCCCACCTTGGCCTCCCAAAGTGCTGGGATTACAGGCATGAGCCACCGTGCCCGGCCTGGAGCATCTATTATACACCCAATTCTGCTCTAAGGGCTTCCTGTGAGTGAATTTGACAGAGTACCCCAAGAATCCCATGATGGGGTACAAATGTTACACCCATGAGGAGAGGGGCGTTATTGAGGGAGTAACCACAGGAAACAGCCCCTGCCAGCAGGCTGCCCGTCCAGAGGCAGCACAACAACAAGAAACAGGAACTGAGGCCACAGCTGGTCACTGTCGGACTGAACACGAGGGCTAGATGCAGGAACACGAGGATTCACCCCCAGCCTCCCCGGTCTCTTGGTCTCGCTCATTCTCTCTCAAGGACGCCCACACCGGCAGGCAGTGGATTCCGGTACTTGGTTCCAGCCACATGCCTGGGCAGCCCTGCCTGGCAGCTGCTCAAGCCACCCCCAGCCTGGGGACAATGAGCCCACTGTCCAGCTCTGGGCCCAGGACTCCGGGGCGGAAGAAATCAACAAGGATGAATACGATCAGATTTCATGCAGGAAGTACAGGACACATTAGGAGAGTCAGGGCAGGGTGCTGAAATCGTTTCTGAAGCCAAGGTCTAAATGTAGCACCCCCAGTACTCCAGTGTGGCACAGTGGCTAAAGAGCATATGCTCTGGAGTCTTGTGCCTCCTCAGCTGTGTGTTCCTGGGCAAATGACCTCCCCTCTCCGTGCCTTGGTTCTCTCACGTGTTAAATGGGATTTGTCAGCATCCCTTCATTTTTCAAGACAGAGTCTTGCTCCCTCACCCAGGCTGGAGTGCAGTGGGGCAATCATGGCTCACTGCAGCCTTGATCTCCTGGACTCAACCAATCCTCCCACCTCAACCTCCTGAGTAGCTGGGACCACAGGAGAGCCCCAGTCCCCCAGCTAATTTTTTGTGTGTAGAGATGGAGTCTCACCATGTTGCCCAGGCTGGTCTTGAACTCCTGGCCTCAGGCAATCCTCCCATCTTGGGCTCCCAAAGTGCTGGAATTACATGCATGAGCCTCTGCACCCAGCCTCCATCACTTCTGATGTATTTTATTCATTAGAAGGGAGTCACTAGGGCCGGGCGCGGTGGTTCAGCCTGTAATACCAGCACTTTGGGAGGCCAAGGCGGGCGGGTCACCTGAGGTTAGGAGTTTGAGACCAACCTGGTCAACGTGGTGAAACCCCCTCTCAACCAAAAATATAAAATTATAGAGGTGTGGTGGTGGGCACCTGTAATCCCAGCTATTTGGGAGGCTGAGACAGGAGAATTGCTTGAACCCGGGAGCTGGAGGTTGCAGTGAGCTGAGATCGCACCACTGTACTCCAGCCTGGGTGGCAGAGTGAGACTCCGTCTCAAAACTCGAAAAAAAAAAAAACAAAAAAAGGCAGGGCTCGGTGGTTCACACTTGTAATCCAAGCACTTTGGGAGGCCCAGGCAGGCAGATCACCTGAGGTTGCGAGTTCGAGACCAGCCTGGCCAACATGGAGAAACCTCGCCTCTACTAAAAATACAAAATTAGCCAGGTATGGTGGTGCATGTTTGTAATCCCAGCTACTCGGGAGGCTAAGGCAGGAGAATCACTTGAACTCGGGAGGTGAAGGTTGCAGTGAGCCAAGATCGCGCCATTGCACTCCAGCCTGGGTGACAGAGCGAAAATCCATTTCCAAAAAAAAAAAAAAGAAGGGGGTCACTAGGTCCAGCCCACACTCAAAGGGAGGGGACCATGCAAGTAGGAATAGGAGGAGACAGGGATCCCTGGGGCCATCTTCAAAGCTGCCACCCACAGGCAAGTATGTCAAGCCATGTCAGGAACTTAGAGTGGACCCACCTCCTGCCCTGTCCCCAGGGGAGACACCCACGGGTCCCATGGGAGCAGAGCTGGAAAGGAGGAAGAGATGAGCCTGGGTGAACTCAAGAAGGAAGGGATGGCCTTCCACCTACCCTAACAAACATGTCCTGAGCTACTGCTGTGTGCCAATCCTGAGTGGGGCACAGGATCAAAGTGGCACCAAGACTGACACAGTCTCCTTCTGTGCCCCTATAGGGCCCACAGTCTAGAAAGAGGCCCAAGATTAAAACGCAAGAAGGCAGGCCAGATGTGGTGGTTCACAGCTGTAATCCTAGCAGTTTGGGAGGCTAAGGCAGGAGGATCTCTTGACCTCAGGAGTTCAAGACCAACCTGGGCAACATAGCGAGACCTCTCCTCTACAAAAAATAAATAAAATCTGCCGGATGTTGTGGCACGCATCTGTAGTCCCAGCTATTTGGGAGGCTGTGGTGGGAGGATCATTTGAGCCCAGGAAGTTGAGGCTACAGTGAGCTATGATCACACCACTGCACTCCAGCCTGGGTGACAGAGTGAGACTTTATCAAAAAAACAAGAAACGTCTAATCCCAAAGCAAAGAAAGAAAAGAAAAGAAAAGAAAACAACTAAAAACAGTGGGTTACATGAGTTAAATCTTTGTTTTGTTTTGTTTTTTTGAGATGGAGTTTTGCTCTTGTTGCCCAGGCTGGAGTGCAATGGTGCGATCTTGGTTCACTGCAACCTCCGCCTCCTGGGTTCAAGTGATTCTCTTACCTAAGACTCCCAAGCAGCTCGGAATACAGGCATGCACCACCACACTTGGCTAATTTTTGTATTTTTAGTAGCGACAAGGTTTCACCATGTTGGCCAGGCTGGTCTCAAACTCCTGACCTCAGGTGATCCACCCACTTCAGCCTCCCAAAGTGCTGGGATTACAGGCGTGAGCCACTGCACCCAGCCGAGTTAAATTTTTATTAATGTAGCAACAAGGTGACCAGAAAATAAGGACCAACCAGAGGCCAAAATGTCATTGTAGCCCCAGGAGGGGGACAGCTTAGGTGTCAGACAAGGCAGGTTTGAGTCTGATAAGACCTCAAAGCATGCCCATTCAACGTAAAGGTGAATTGGAAATCAAAATAAGATCTTTCCTTAACATACACACTCCAGGAGCTAAAAGGAAATTTGGTATCTCAGACCTTGCTGCTAGGAGGAAGGGGTGAAATCTCAATCAATGACTCATAACCTCACATGAGTGTGCAACTCCAACCATACAATCTGGGTGTCTGAAAGTCCTCAAGCAGACAACATGGTTCAAAGCAGTTCACACTGGGCGCGGTAATCCCAGCACTTTAGGAGGCTGAAATTGGGCAATCGCTTGAGGCCAGGAGTTCAAGACTAGCCTGGGCAACATGGCAGAACCACATCTCTACAAAAAATACAAAAATTAGCCGGGTGTGGTGGTGTGCACCTGTCATCCCAGCTACTCAGGAGGCTGAGGTAGGAGAATCTCTTAAAGCTAGTAGTTCCAGACCAGACTGGGCAATATAGTGAGACCCCATCTCTATAAAAAAACATTCTTTTAACTATCCAGGAGCGGTGGCAGGTGCTTGTAGTCCCAGTTAGTCAGGAGGCTGAGGCGGGAGGATTGCTTGAGCCCAGGAGATGGAGGCTGCTCCAGCCTGGGCAACAGAGGGGACACCCTGTCTCAAAAAAAAAAAAAAAAGCGGGGCGGGTGGCGAGGCATGGTGGCTCAAGCCTGTAATCCCAACACTTTATGAGGCCAAAGCAGGTGGATTACCTGAGGTCAGGAGTTTGAGACCAGCCTGGTTAACATGATGAAACCCTATCTGTACTAAAAATATAAAAATTAGCCAGGCATGGTGGCACATGCCTGTAGTCCCAGCTACTCAGGAGGCTGAGGCAGGAGAATCACTTGAACCTGGGAGGTGGAGGTTGCAGTGAGCCGAGATCGCACCATTGCACTCCAGCCCGGGCGACAGAGTGACAGAGTGAGACTCTGTCTCAAACAAACAAACAAACAGACAAACAATAGATAAGAGGTAAGTGCAGCCGGAAGGGTGACAAGAGGGAAGAAAGTGGAGGCTGGGACATGGTCAGGGACCTTGTGTGCCATGCTCAGGAGTATGGCCTCAATTCTATTTATTTATTGTTATTTTTTTAGATGGAGTCTCACCCTGTCGCCCCCAGGTTGGAGTGCAGTGGCGGGATCTCTGCTCACTGTAAGCTCGACCTCCCAGGTTCACGCCATTGTCCTGCCTCAGCCTCCTGAGTAGCTGGGACTACAGGCGCCCACCACCACACTCGGCTAATTTCTTGTATTTTTATTAGAAATGGGGTTTCACCATGTTAGCCAGGATGGTCTTGATCTCCTGACCTCGTGATCTGCCTGCCTTGGCCTCCCAAAGTGCTGGGATTACAGGTGTGAGCCACCACGCTCGGCCAGTATGGCCTCAATTCTAAGGGCAACAAGAAGCTATGGGAGGGTGCTAAGCAGGAAAATTCGGCAAAGGTTCCCAGAGGGAGAGTTGGCCCTGGCTAAAAGGGGCCCAGTATGTTCTATTTCCACCACTTCTGGATAGTATGTTCTAGGCAGCTTGAGACACTGCAAGTCTTTCTGAAGACCAGGTGAACATATGGATGGGGGAGTGGCAGGTGGGCAGGGAACAGATGGTAGGACCTTGAGTGCCAGCTAGGGGCTGAGTCTTCCTTCTGCCAAGCAAGGGTTGGCCGTGGAAGGTGTCTGAGCAGAGGGCACAGTCAGATTTCCACATCAGAACAACCAAGGGGCCGGGGGCAGGGGGCCATGGCATGGAGAAGGGGTGAGTTTTAGAAAGTTCAGAACCAGTCAACTTACGGTGGGATCCTTCCCATCTCCACACCCTCTGTGCCCTCCTTACAGTGGGTTCAGTCCCTCTTGCAACTCCATCTTACAAGGAGCTGTGAAGGTGTTGAACCCTGCCCTGCTAGCCTGCGTTCACCTGCTCCCACGTGGTGCTGTTCCTGAGATCTGCTCTGATAGGAACCCCCAGCAATGCCTGTTTCACCCCAGAAGGACCCCAACGGCTCGTTTGAGCAAGCCCCTCAGAGACACGGCCAAAACCCTCCAAGGATCCTTGCACAGGACACCAGAATCTGCCCCTCTAGCATGAACCCAGTGTCCCGGTCTCCAGACCCCCAAACAAGACCTGGAATACGCAGCAGCCTCCCTACACACTCCGAACAACTCCTAAACCCAAAGACCCACACAGACCCCAAAATCTCAAACAGTGCCCCAGCTGGAAACGGTCCGGAGGAAATACACACCTTCAGAAACCCGGCAAGTCCTCTGTAGACTTCCTAAGCAGCTCGCTCATCCCTCAAAAGCCCTAGATAGACCCAAAGTGTCTTGGCAACCCCCAGAGACTACCTATTGGGTCGTCCCTGTGAGCCCCGGTGACCTACTGGAGAGCCCCCTGAAGTCTCTCACAGTTAACAAGGCTCCAAAAAGACCCCTACACCACCACGGCTTTCCAGTCAGCCCCAGCTCCCTGGAACTTCCACCAGCAGCCCAAAGACCCCCAAGTTGCCCCCCCAAGCCCCTGAGATCATCTCCTGAGCAGCCTGCAACGCTCCAAGTACCTTGCAGGCTACTCATCTCCCTCGAGAAATCCTTAAAGTGTCCCCTGTAGCGCCCTCAGAGCCCCCCAACTGGTCACCCTCTCAGGCCCCGCCCCTCGGCCCAGCCCCACCCCCAACCTACAAAGCACCCCCAGCTCTCCGGACCCTCCAAGCTGTCTTCGCAACCCAGCCCCGCACCGTGCGCCCCCAGAGCCCTCAGCCCCACTCCCGGCCCTGGCGGATCCCGTCAACACTCACAAGAGGTCTCGCCTCGCGGTCTTGCAAACGATGCGAAGGAAGCGCCAGCCGCCGCTGCCCACGTACACGCCGAGCGCCGCTACTGCGCTCCAGGTCCATGGCAGCCCCAGCAGCCACAACAGCGCCAGCGAGACCACCGAGGCCGCGCCTGCACCCGGAGCCCGCATCCTGGGGAGACAGAGAGCGCTGAGGCCGCGGGCCACTCCGGCTCCGCCCGCGACCGCCCCCGCCCCTACAGTGAGCCCTGCCCCCAGGCCTCGGCTCCGCCCCGCCGCGAGCCCGGGAAGGGTGCTCCGGGTCAGACTCCGCCCCCAGGCCTGGGATTGGTCAACTCCTCAAGCCAGGCATCGCCCTCTTTCCAGGCTTTAACACCCGCCCGCTAACTAGGAACCAGACCCCGGCCCTAGGCCTGGGATTGGCCAGGTCCTGGCCAGGCTCCGCCTCTGACCCTGGGTCAGCTCTATTCCATATTTTTGAGTCCATCCTTCCCTGCCAATCTTACAACAGTCCCCGCCCCCAGAGCCAGCAAGTCCACCCTGTCGGTCACTGTCCGGCCTCGCCATATGCCTGCATTTAGCCTGTATCCTTGATCCCCGAATTACCCTTCACGTCCTGTCCCCTTTCCTTCTGGTCCTGCCTCTACCCCGTGGCTTTCTCGCCACTCACGGGGCCCTGCCCTTAGGTTATACTTCTAGCCCCGCCCACAGACGCAGGCCCTCTCCCCCGAGTCCCGCCCCTCTCAGCCAGGCTCCACCCCCTAGGCTAGATTATATGGCCCCGCCCACAAGCACACACCGCGCCCCCCCCGCCCCTCCCGGAACTAGACCCCTCCCATCCGTTCAAGCCCCACCCCAGTTCCGGCCCTAGCCCATGCTCCCAGGCTCAGGTTCTATCCTGGTCACTGGCCCCGCCCTCAGGCTTCGGCTAGTCACCACCTCCTGGGTTTCACTCCGGCCCCCATAGGACCTAGGCCCCGCCCCTCTTCCCACCTGTCTACCTCGAAGCTGCTCAGCCTGCAGAGCTGAGGCGGACCCTTTTCCAGGAGCCACGACCATAGAGAGGCAACCGGACCAGAGAGGCGACGGTCAACGAGACATGGGGGCTAGAACAGCCCGCCAGGGACCCCCCCCCCCGCTGTCTCCATGACAACCAGGCCTTACCCCACCCCCTCTCCTTTTAGGAAACACACGTGTTCTGCAGCCGTGGGGCATGGCTCGCAAGATAGCAGGACCCGAGCCCTAGATGGCGTGCAGACTCTCTACCCTCGGGGACCAAAAAGATCCCAGTCCACAGACACGGCCCGCGTGGGCTGAATTCTTGCCCCAGCTTGTCCTAAATCCAAGCCCCAAAACCTCTTTCGTTCTTAAAAACATATTCCAGGGCCCCAGGGGAGTGTTCAACTCACACCGTGGGGGCCTCAGAAGTCTTTAATTGTAAACACCGCCGCGGTCTTAAACACGTGTAATTCAAGGACACAGCTAATTCTTAATCCATGTCCCGAAGCCTTGTCGATTAAGTCTCAACGTCACACCCCAGGATCCTGGGGAGGACAAAATCCACACGCTAGGTCCCCATCCTTCCTAGAAGCACCTACAGGCCCTTTACTTGCACCTCAGGGTCCTAGATGCTCCCTCGGGCGCCTGCCAGCGCTGGCCTGGGGGCATCCACAACCCTGTTCTCTGGCTGACCTGAAGCTGCAAGCAGTGCCTTCAGTCTCCTGGAAGCTCAGGCAGGAGGCAGGCAGGAAGTAGGAGGCTGAGGTTGGGGACCCTTTGTTTCTGCAGACTCCTGGACCCTTCTTGGGTGCGCTGTGCCCACTGTGCAGGCTTCTGCTTTGGGGTCCTTTCCTTCCAGCTCCCTCTCCTCTGCCCCACTGCCAACTCCACCACTGCTTGTTTTCTGCCCTGCTTGGCCGACCTTTCCAGCGTTCTCCTTGGCCGACCTTTCCAGCGTTCTCCTTGGGAGGCGGCCCGGGCCTGTTTCCAGTGTATTTGGAGGACAGGGCTGGGCAGGAGCTCACCCCCTACACTGCCATTGGTCCCTGCTGGCAGCAGGGTGGCTGGAATGGGGGATCACGAGGAAGATCCGGAGGACAGGCCCAGAGCCAGCCACTGGCCTGCTGCTTTCTGGGCCTGGAAGAGTCAGCAATGGCCAGTAACTACAGTTGCACTCTTACCTAGCCAGGTAGCACCGCTGTGATCACCCCAGTTGACAGGTAAAGAAACTGAGGGCAGGCTGGGCCACGGTGACTCACGCCAGTAATCCCAGCATTTTGGGAGGCCGAGTTGGGTGGATCACTTGAGGCCAGAAGTTCGAAACCAGCCTGACCAACATGGCGAAATCCTGTCTCTACTAAAAATACAAAAATTAGCTGGGCGTAGTGGAGCACACCTGTAATCCCAGCTACTCAGTGTTAGGCAGGAATCTAGACCCAACATGGCGGCGTTACCCGGCGTAGCAGGCCTTTTGTTAAAGACTCCCTTCACCCTTGTACACACCCGCAGACTTACATGTGTCAGAGTTCCGGCTGGGCAACCATACTCCCCCATGACCTGCAGCTCACCTGCATTCCACAAGTTCGTAAACAGCAGTTTCGGTTGACAGTTTCCAAAGACCCCTTCCTCATGACCCTTACTCAACTCCTGCCCTAGTAGTTTCAAGACCCCCCAGGACCTGTTTGCACAACCAGCTTCCCTACCTCTCGGGCTATAAAAAGCCCCTACCCTCCTCCCTCAGCACGACTTCCTCGGTCCACGCCTTTGGACCGAGGAACCTCGCCGGCAAGCCCTAATAAAAGGCTATTCTCACTGCCATTTGCCTTGTGTCTTCGTTCCCGGTTCGGCTCCAGCCTCAGTTTACCTTTACATTTGGTGCCGAAACCCGGGAGGAGACCCCTCCCTGGACCCCTGCTAGGTCGGGCAGGCTCTCCTCTCCCCGAGCCAGGTTCCTGGTATGGCTCCAGCCTCAGTTTACCTTTACATTTGGTGCCAAAACCCAGGAGGAGACCCCCTCCCTGGACCCCTGCTAGGTCGGGCAGGCTCTCCTCTTCCTGAGCCAGGATCCCCTCCTCAAGCCTGGAGCCGTCTCACCAAATTTAAGACTCAATTCGATCACTGCTGGGTAAATTTTCCCCCTGTCCTGACTGCTCCCTCTGGGAGTCCCTGTCCGAAACGCGCGGTCGCATCAGGGGCTCTCTCCAGTCAGCTGTGACCTCAGCACCGGGGACTAGGAGACGTCCAACCTCCCCAGAAGCCACCATACCCCGCACTCCACGTGGCAGTAGGAGGATGCTCCCATTGCCTCCAGACTGCCCGCCTTGAGACCATAGGAACTACCCAGTCCAAACCAAACCAAGAATCTCCTCTGGGGTGCCTCTTGGCGAATCTCCAGACTTTAAGTCTCAGCCAAGACATAAAACGAAAGCGGCTCATTTTCTTCTGCACAATAGCATGGCCGCAATATAAATTGGATAATCAGTCTCAGTGGCCTGCAGAAGGCACTCTAGACTTTAACATTCTCACAGATCTGACCAACTTCTGCAAGAGACTAGGCAAATGGTCCGAGATACCCTATGTTCAGGCCTTTTGGGACTTGCGTTCTCACCCAGATCTCTGCGCCCAATGCTCGTTAGCTCAAGTTCTGCTCGCAAAGTCTCTTCCCTCGAGCAAGGAGGGGGATGATTCCTCCTCTTTTTCTGAGTCTCCTGACACCCTATCCCGGCCACCCCTCCGGTCTCCTGCCCAACCTCCCTCCTTACCCTGACCCACCGTTATCCCCGTCCTCGTCAACGCCTCCCTACCCTTCTCCCCCCTCCTGTGCCCTTACCAAACCCGACAGATTCTGTCTCCCCTACTTCCACCTCCTCCCCTTCCTCGCCTGTCTCAGCCCATACTTGGTCCAGGACTGACCTCCTGTGTCCCTTGTGAGAGGTGGCAGGTGCCGAAGGAGTAGTCCAGGTCCATGTGCCATTTTCATTGGCAGACTTGTCTAAGGTTGAGGAGCATGCAGGCTCCTTTTCGGCCAATCCTACTTGTTATATCAAAGAGTTTAGGTATCTGTGCCAGGCATATGATCTCACCTGGCATGACCTCCATGTCGTTATGACCTCAACCCTGTCTCCTGAGGAGCAGGAGCGCATCCTATCGGCAGCCAGGCGGCACACTAACCAGGTTCATTTAACTGACCCTGCCATGCCAGTTGGCACTGAGGCAGAGCCCTCGGCTGAGCCCGACTGGGACTACCAGGTAGGGCAGGCAGGCCGCCGCCACTGAGACATGATGGTTCAATGCCTTCTTGCTGGCATGCAGGCAGCCTCTAACAAATCAGTCAACTTTAACAAACTAAAGGAGGTAGTCCAAGGCGCAGATGAAAATCCGGCTGTTTTTCTTAACCGGCTGACTGAGGCACTGATTCAGTACACCAGCCTTGACCCTGCCTCCCCTGCAGGAGCAACCGTCTTGGCCTCATATTTCATTTCTCAGTCGGCCCCTGATATCCAAAAAAAAAATTTTTTAAAGGTGGAGGAAGGCCGTCAAACTCCCATCCAGGACTTAGTCAAACTGGCCTTCAAGGTCTACAACTCCAGGGAGGAAGCAGCTGAGGCCCAATGACAGGCCAGGCTAAAGCAGAAGATACAACTCCAAATCCAGGCCTTGGTAGCAGCCCCAAGGCCTGCCGGCTCCAGGAGCTCCCAGAAAGGAGGTACTCCCCGAGCGCCATCTGGTGCCTGCTTCAAGTGAGGCAACGATGGCCACTGGGCCAGGCAGTGCCCTAACCCAAAGGAGCCAACTCGCCCCTGTCCGAACTGTGGGCAGGTGGGCCACTGGAAGTCAGACTGCCCTGACCTAAGGATGGTCGCTGTGCCTCCACGTGACGACCCTCCTCCAGGTATTGGAGGCGCCTTCCAACTCCTTGACACTGATGAAGATTGAAGAGGCCCAGACTCGGGGACCCCTCTCACTCTCGCTGAGCCCAGGGTCATGCTCCAGGTAGCGGGTAAGTCCATCTCCTTCCTTATGGACACGGGGGCTACCTACTCTGCTTTGCCTTCCTTCAGTGGCCCCAGCCACCCCTCCACTGTCACAGTCATGGGAATTGACGGCACTCCCTCCACCTACTGCCAGACTCCTCCTCTGTCTTGCCGCCTGGATGGCTCCCTCTTCTCGCACTCATTTCTTATCATTCCTTCGTGCCCAGTCCCCTTGTTAGGACGAGATCTCCTCTCCAAGCTAAGGGCCTCAGTTC